TCAGATAGAAAAGCAAAGACGCTCCGAAGTCCTATGGGATGGATGCTGGAAGGGACAGTGGAAAAGGAAATACTGCAAGACAGGAGCTTGAGAGATGGTCCCAGGCAAGATCAGTTAGGTCCTTGACCGCTGTGCTGAAAATGACTGTTTTCCAAAAGGCAATGGGCAACCCAGATGAAAACTCTGAAGCAGAGGTGTGGCGTGCTTCGGTATATGCTCTAGAGGTGTAGTTTTCCAAAGGACCGGCTGAAGGGCAGATTGGGGAAGGCTGAGCTGGATCAGCAAAGCCCATTGGGAGCTGTTACATGAGGGAATGGTGAGGCTAGACTGATGGCCCTGGGGATGGGAATGGATTTCAGGGAATGTGTTTAAGAGCTATCAAGGAGATAGAATGTATAGGACTTCTAGGCCAACTAGATACAGGAGTTGATGAGGAAGGAGTCAACAGCTCCAGGTTTCTGAATTGGGCAATCGACTGCGGGATTAGCAGGAGGAATGAGAGTGGCAGAGAAAGGAGATGCTTCAATGCAGACCTGAATTAAAACAGCGCCAGTGAAGGTGGAGGGAAGAGATGGAGGCATATATCATCACCACCACTGGGGGACTGCTTAGATGGGAGGAGTTATTGGAGAACGGCAGTGACTCCATATTTCTGGCTTGCATGATAATGCCATAGTCCAAGGGAAGGACTTCAAGGAGAGGATTAGATTTAGGGAGAGGTGAGCTCAGATTTGGACATGTTAAATTTGAGGTGCCTTGTGGGGTGTCGGGATGAGGTATTTGCAGTGTGGAGCTCACAGAGAAATCTGCACTGGAAATGCGAATTTAGGAGCTGTGATTAGGGGGTTGTGCTTACTGTTCAACAAGTGAGAAGAGAAAAAGATCAAAGATGAAATCAGTATTTTTTTGGTCTAGTTTGGCACAAAGAGCCCATGAAAGAGACTTAAGAAGGAAAGTCAGAGAGGTAGAAGGAAAATCAGGAGAGAAAGGAGATGGAGAAGTGAGTGTAAGGACATGTGGCTCAAAATTAGACTGGGGACAGGAGGATTGGTCTAGTCTGTTTTCTGGGTCTCCTGGACATCTTTGTGGGAAGGGGAATCTCTGTGTCTTTCTGCAGCCTGTGGAAACACTTGCAGGCCTGATCTGAAACAAGATTGACCACAGGTGCCTTGGCTGACATTTGAAAAATGGAAACTTGAACCTTACTGAGGCCCCTCTCCAACCCTCCTGTCATCCTCCTCCCAGTTTCCCACAAAGGAGATGAAACATGTGCCTGGGGAACCCAGCAGGAGGCTGGGAATGGGGGTCGGGGCAGCAGATGGCTCAGGGCCCCAACTCTTTAGTGGCAGGAGTCAGCCACAGCTGTTCAGCGAAGCCTCCTGCAAGTTTAATGGAGGCAGACAATTGGCTGGGGATGCGCTGGTGGACGAGATCAATGAAGGGGAACACAAGCCCAGGCCCTTCATGGGGTGGACAAGCTAACTTCAGACTCTTTGTTGAGGTGTGTCTGAGTGCCTCTGGATTTAGGTCATTGAAATGACCACCTCCCTTACACAATAGTCTCATCCCTGCGCAATTTTATACATTCGAACATCATGCCATTGGAATCACCCACAACCTTTTGGAATTGTGGGGATAGACCCAGGAACAGCCTTTGAGCCTGTCCAAATCAGAGACAGTGTGCTCATGGTTTTTCCTTTGTTCTTATCCTTCTGACATTTCAGAAAAGTGTGGGAAGGTGGAGATCTTCAGTTCACACTGCTGAACTCAGGGAAATTTGACTCTTGCACACAGACAGGAAACACAGACCCGAAATCTTTTTCTTTTTTTTTTTTTGAGACGGAGTCTTGCTCTGTGATCCAGGCTGGAGTGCAGTGGCGTGATCTCGGCTCACTGCAATCTCCACCTCCTAGGTTCAAGCGATTCTCCTGCCTCAGTCTCCCGAGTACCTGGGATTACAGGCGTGTGCCACCACGCCCGGCTAATTTTTTGTATTTTTAGTAGAGATGAGGTTTCACCATGTTGACCAGGCTGATCTCGAACTCCTGACCTCAGGTGATCTGCCCGCCTCAGCCTCCCAAACAGACCTGGATTCTAAAGGTTACAGCATCTTTGTCTTTTTGTGCCGGTCATCATCCCCGGGTCCTGCTTTCCACTCGGGGATAGTGAAGGTTATGAATGGGGTCATCCGTCTGTGTCTCCCACAGGCCCTTCTGCAGGTCCTGGCTCAACAACTTTGAAACCGGTTGGCTTGGCTGCTTGGACACCTGTGTCCATCGGCCTGTCGTTCCTTGCTTTCCCTGTTTTTGACTTTCGCCCAGAGTTCAGGATTCATTAGTGCTGAGCCACTTCTTTTTATCTTGCTTAAGGACATGCGCATGCTTTTACATGCATGCTAGAGAGGTAGACCTTTGCTTCCAAATTATCTTGTGAACTATGGCAGGTATTTTAGGGGACCTCACTGGCCATGGTGGGGCTTGCTGGTGGTACTAAAGCACTGTGGTTTATTAAAGTAACAGGTTCATTATGAGAGGCAGGTTAGGAATAGCCCCAGGAGGCTGGATGCTGGAAAGATGATCCCGGGTTTGGCACTGCTGCTCCCACTTCCCTGGAAAAGCTCAGGTTACTTCCCTGCCTGCCTCCATACTACCTCGCCACCTCCCTCTCCATTCCCAGTTGCTCCAGGTCCCAAGGCTTTTCCAGTTGACGTCATGATGGGACAAATCCTCGAAATCAGTGACTCATGACATGAGGGACTGGTGCTCTCTCTTGTCTCCTCCCCACTTCTCCACCTGGTTGACTACTTATCCTGTAAGACGAATTCCAGTGTTACGCTGCTGAGGCCCCTCCTCTGTCTACCCAGAGGTTGCTGGGCTTGCCTTTCTTATAGCACACATCACATTGTGTTTTGGTTTTTATTGTGGTAAAATATTTATAACATAATTTACCATTTTAACCATTTTTAAGTGCACAGTTCAGTGACATTAAGTACATTCATAATGCTCTGCAAAATGACCACCATTCTGACCAGGCGCGGTGGCTTGCTCCTGTAATCCCAACACTTTGGGAGGCCGAGGAGGGCGGATCACCTGAGGTCAGGGGTTCGAGACCAGCCTGGTCAACATTGTGAAGCCCCGTCTTTACTAAAAATACAAAAATTAGCCGGGTATGGTGGCGGGCACCTGTAATTCCAGCTACTCAGGAGGCTGAGGTAGGAGAATCGCTCGAACTTGGGAGGCAGAGGCTGCAGTGAGCTGAGATCGCGCCACTGCACTCCAGCCTGGGTGACAGCGTGAGACTCTGTCTCAAAAAAAAAAAAAAGGAAAGAAAGAAAGAAAGAAAGAAAAAAAGGCCACCATTCCTCCCCAGAAATGAAACCCCATACCCGTTAAACAGCACTCCCCGGTTTCCTCCCTCCAGCCCCTGCCCACCACCGTTCTACTCTCTGTCTCTGCACTTGCTACTTCAGGTACCTCAGATGAGTGGAATCATACCATATTTGTCCTTTTGTATTTGGTTGATTTCACTCAGCATGTCTTCAAGACTCATCCTGCCCATTGCAGAATTTCCTTCCCTTATGAGGCTGAATAAATTCTATGGCATGTATACACTACATTTTGTTCATCTCTTTATCCATCGATGGATATGTGGGTTGCTTCCACCTTCTAGCTGTTGCAAATAATGCTGTTCAGAGCATGGGTGTACAAATATCTGTTGGGGTCGCTGCTTTCAATTCTTTTGGGTATGCACCCAGAAGTGGAATTGCCAGGTCCTAGGGTACTCCTGTGGAATGATTTGAGGAACTGCCATACTGATTTCATTGTGTGCATTCTGAGTCCATCTCCCACCAGACCTCCGGGGAAGGGCTGTGTTCTTATCTTTGGCTCCATAGCCCTACCTGGCAGGCTGTCGGGCACAGCAGACACTCAGGGTTAAGTTTGTTTTGTTACACTGACTTAAGCAGCTAAGGAATGCCCTTGTTCCAGCCCCAGAGAACTTGCCCCAGAAAGCAGCTAGGAATTTACGTAAGAGGACTCAGAAGGATGTGATTTCACTCCCTAACTGCCAGTTGATCTCACATGATACAGTGAAGAGAAAGCAGGTACAAAACATTTTTAGAGAGTGGAGCCATCCGTGACTAAACCGAGGGCAGAGGGTGAGGCTGCTGCCAGTGCTGTGGATGGGTTCTGTCAGCATCCTTCCCTTCAGGACACCTAGATTAGCTCTGCACCGAGAGCAGTCCTTTTAAGTGTAAGGCAGTGCGCATCCACAACCTAAGGTTCATTCTTTCTGTAAGCATTAAACAAGCCCGTCTGTGTACCAGGCCAGTGCTGTGCCCAGGGAATGCCAGGATGTGAGACACAAGCCCTGCCCTCACAATTGCAATACAGGATGGGTAAGCACCAAGTGCCATGAGGGCTCTTGTGTGTTTTGGAAAGATGATCCCAGGCTTGGTGCTGCGGCTCCCCCTTCCCTGGAAAAGCTCAGGTTATACTCCCCTGCCTGCATTCACACTTCCTTGCCACCTCCCTCTGCATTCCCAATGGCTCCAGGTCCAAAGGATTTACCAATTGACTTGGGGCGGGGCAGGGAGCAAGAATACCTAAGCTAGGACGAGGAAGGTCAGGGAGGCATGACACCCAGGAAAGGAGAAGGGATGGTCATGAGGCTGTTCCAGGGCAGGATGCAGCCTGTGTGAGCCCTGGGAGCAGAGGAAAAAGTGCCTTGTTTTGTTTTGCAGGTATGTAATTACTGAAGAAAATGACAGGTTTTTCTTTTTGTCTCATATTAACTTGGTTTGGATATACAACATATAGTAGATAGTTAAAGATAACAAGCGAATGCTTTATAAAAGGATTAGTCTGGAAAAGTTAGATGTGGGCCTGCGCAGAGGCAGGGGGATGGACTCACTGACCCCTATGAGACACTTTCCCTTCCTGTGCATCCACGCTCCGAATTTTCAAGGCCTCCTTTCTCTTCCTTGACTCGGATTGTCTAAGCTACTTAACCAATGGACAGCCTTCCATCGAGCGGTTCCCCATCAGCTTTAAAACCTACTTCTCAGGAAACTACTTTCATCACGTTGTGCTGGGGATTTACTGTAATGGCCGCTATGGCTCACTGGGTATGAGCCGCAGGGCTGAGCTGATGGACAAGCCATTGACTTTTCGGACTCTGAGTGACCTCATCTTTGACTTTGAGGACTCCTACAAGAAATACCTACACACAGTCAAGAAGGTCAAGATTGGACTGTACGTCCCCCATGAGCCTCATAGCTTCCAGCCCATTGAGTGGAAGCAGCTGGTCCTCAACGTCTCAAAGATGCTGAGGGCTGACATAAGGAAGGAGCTGGAGAAATATGCCAGGGACATGAGAATGAAGGTGGGTGCTGGGAAGACAAGGAAGCCATGCAGGAGAGCTCTTTTCCCATTCCTTTCTCTCCACCTCTTGCTCCAGGCCTCATTTTTCTAGGATGGTCAAACATTTCTTGAGGTTAAAGTCTCTCTTTGCACGTACTACTGCAAAGAAAACCATATAAAATCAGTTTAGATGTGACATTTAAAATAATGTCTTGTCCTGCAATTTCTTCTATGAAATCAGATCTAAAGTGTTAGTCATTTTATACTGAAGCTCTAGTTTGTTCTGTTTTGTTGATGTAATAGGGTGACCAATTGTTCCAGTGTGCCTGGAACTGCGGGCCTTCCCAGGACAAGAGATTTCCAGTATTAAAACCTGGAAAACCTTACATGCTGGCCTTATATAGACTATACTCATACGTCCCTCTTCCCTCTCTCAGTTTTACCTCCAAAGTGATGTGATTCTCGCTTGTCCATGTCCCTCCAGGGCTTGTGCAGTCACTAAGAGAAAAGGATTATGCTGGCTTCAGGCCTGGCTATGTTTAGCACTGGTGGACTTGTCATGTTCAGTCTGCAGGACCTGGAGTGACGATTCCTGATCAATTAAAACCATTCTGTCATATGTGTGGGATGGGAGCATCAGAGGAAGAACAAGCTGGTTTCTGGGGCAATGTAGATGGGACTTTGCCTTCATGAGGAGAGGAACTTGCCAAGCAGATAAACACAGCCCCGGTGTGGGGGCTGAGGCACTGGGCCGTGTTCCTCTCTTCACACGGCACGGGGCACAACGTGACCATCTGTATATCCGTCTTAGAAGTGGTGCCCTTGCTGCTTGACAGTACAGGACGAGAGAGGAACGTGTGTGTCTCCAGCCTCCTTTTTTTAGAAATCTTCCTGCTCAGTGCCTTCTAATCCATGGCGTCATGATTGGGCTGGGGGTGTGGAATGCGGTGCTGGAAGAAGACGTGAGGCTGGAGATCCTTTAGGAACCAGGGTGATTAACTCCTCACATCTCCTTCAGATCCTGAAACCTGCAAGTGCCCACTCTCCGACCCAAGTGAGAAGCCGGGGAAAATCCCTGTCCCCCAGAAGAAGACAGGCAAGCCCCCCGAGGAGGCTCGGCAGGCGAGACAAGTCGTGAGTAATATTTCCTCTTCCCCAACTCAAAGCCCAACACACACATTCAAGGGGTTGTCCAGGCCCATGGGGACAAAGCTGTGTCTTGGGCCCGGCATCTGAACCAGACAGCAATCTCCAAGAGGACTGCCCCTCATTCAGGGGACGTCTATGGAAAAGGATCCGCTGTGCACATCACCCCCATTGCCACTTCTGTGCTGTCAGTTGCACACACAAATGGAGAGATAAGTCCTAGGCAGAATGAGGTGAAGAATAGCCTGAAATGCAGGCAGCCCGGAGGGAGCTTCGGACTTAGAATTAGGAAACCTGGGGCTGGAACCGGCTCAGCTGCTTGGGGATGTCTTTGTTATCTTTCTGGGCATAAGTTTTTCTCACCCATAAAATGGGATTGTTAGAATTTATGAACTTTCCTAAAATTCTGTAGTCCTCTGTACCCAGCAGAAAGTGTGATTACCATCAGTGGACGGTGGCGTCAGAAACACCCACCCGCTCATCTTCTTCCTTGGCTAACTCTACCCTCTCCGTTTCAGCCCTGAGGCCAGTGATCCCACGTCTACTTCTTAGGTCAAAATAACCCACTTAAGCAATGACAGATTGGAGATGCTGGGGATGCCCAAATTCACCAGTGTTTATCTGCTGGCAAATATTTGAACGATAGCCATCCTGGGAAAAAGCACTGCTTTTCTTAACAGTAGCAGCATGCTGTGTCACCCAGCCTCTTGCCATGCTGGGACCATGTGGCACAGAGCACAGGGGGGCTTGGTTGAATCCCAACTCTGTCACATGTTAGTTGTGCAGCTGGGCACATCCTTCCTCCTCCGGGAGCCTTGGTTTCCTCATCCATGAAAGAATATCAAAATGCTCTCCTCGCCTATCTGACAGGGTGGTTTGTAAAGATCCAGGTAGATGATGTAACGAGAGTGACTTGTCAACAGTGAACTGTGTTCACACAAGCACATTATCATCGCCACATCAATCCTGTACACTGAGCAGGGAACATTTTACAAGTTTTGTTTTCAGGTGAAGAAACCAGGACCCAACAAGGGCTTGTTATCTTGTAAGTTCTGTAGCTGGTCAGTGGGAAGTGGGGCTGAAACCCAGCTCATCTGATTCTGGGAGGTGGCAGGGCAGAGTCGGGGAGGGTTCCGTTTTCAGAAGAACAGGACGGGACGAAGTACTTTCATTTCCAAGGATGGTTTTTTACTTGCCCCATTCCACATCCTAAAGCCAGTCCTGGGTTCAGCAGCTACTGCCACGAGGGCCTTGGTGACAATGGCTGTCGTTCTGGGCTGGAAAAGAGGGTGTGAAGCAGTGAGAGGTCACGTGTTCCCAGTAGCAAGCGAGGCTGAAGATGAGAATGGCTTTGGCATTGGTTTGCCCTTGTAGGGAGCAGGATGGCTTCCGACCTTTCACACATGGCCTCCTGACCCCAATCCTCCCCCTGAAGCTGGCCACTGCCCTTGACCCTTGACCCTAACCTTAGCCCTTACTCTCTCTCTCGCTTTGATTCAAACATCCATTAATTGCTGTCGCTGCACAAAGTAATGGTTGTCTCAGAGGACTATGAACATAGAAACCCTTCCCAGAGGGTCATTTAGCATAGAGTGAGTGATCCAGCAATAGCAAGTTGCTCATAAAACAACTGATTTTGTCTGATTTATTATCTGTTTTGCCCAAGGAGGGCTGAGTCATTCCCTGAGGAGCTCCCAATCTTCAGCAAATGTCGAGCAGTCTATAAAAGCCTGCCCTTCCCTTTAGGTTCTAGAATCCAGAGCACATGAAGGCCCAAGCATTCCGCCTGGCCATGGATTCCTGCACAGAATGGCAGCTATTGATTTTGAAGACTAGTCCTGGTGGATCCATTTTACTCGGATCCACAGGGACATTGCATTCACAGGGCCATGTTGAGTTTTTAACCAGGAAATGTGACCATAAATGCGAGGGGATGGTAAAGATCCTAGAAACCATGGTAACAGGATGATGTCAGGAGTCAGGAGGTGGTGGTGGCTGTTTGGGAAATGTGGAGGAAGGAGAGTTTGAGTTTGGATGATGGAATGTGGAGTGCATCTTTGACATCAGGGGAGTTGCTGAAAATGCAGACCTGGAGTTTGAGGAAGCTGGGGGATAAAGGTCGTATTGGAGCCATCTACTTAGAATTGCCAGTTGAAATGACAGCCAGATAAGTCTGTGAGCAAAGAAAGTAGAGAAAAAAGAAATGGCTGGATGTGGTGGTTCATGCCTGTAATCCCAACACTTTGGGAGGCTAAGGAGAGATAATTGCTTGAGCCCAGGCGTTTGAGACCAGCATGCCTATGCCACATAGGGAGACCCTGTCTTTACAACAACAGATTAGCCAGGCATGGTGATGCATGCCTGTAGTCTCAGCTTCTTGGGAGGCTGAGATGGGAGGATCTCTTGAGCCTGGCAATTCAAGCCTGGATAGTGCCATTGCACTCCAGTCTGGGCGAAGGAGAGGCCCTCTAAAAAAAAAAAAAAAAAAAAATGATGACGAGGCCCTGAGGAAGCCCAAGAAAAAGATGCAGAACAGAAGATGGAAAAGGAACAGTCAGAGAGGGAGAGGATGGATCAGGACTGTGAGCGCACCTGCGCCTGCAGAGGACAGCTGTCAGAGTGCAAAGCTACTGTGAGTGCAAAGCTACCTCTGGTGTTGGAGCACCACTTGCCCTCTGCCCTCCTGCCCATCTGGCACACCAGAGTGGGCTGGGAATGGGGAGAAAGGCCAGGGAAAGGGAGTGGTCACCTGAGGTCAGGAAGGAAGACCTGCAGGAAGAGGGCGACTCTCCTCCTGCCTCGCATGCCCCGGAGTCGACCCCAGCCCCACTGGGGGAAGCACAGGAGCACAGAGGTGATGACTCATGGCTCAGCAGTGAAAACATAAACTTTTCAAAAACGATGAGAAGTGGCTGCAATAAGGTGAGGAGGGGTGGGTTTCAAGGGGGAGGGGGGAAAGTAGTGGGGGAAAGAGAAGCGCTATGGACTGGGGTGACATTTAGAGAGGCAGTGTTGAGAGGGCTGAGGGGCTGGAACCAGCCTGGGAAAGGGAGTGAGAATGAGAGCTGATGGAGCTGATGCAGGCCAGGATTCGTTTTTCAAGAAGGAGCCCTGAACAGAGATGCAGCAACCTGATTTCTGACTCCAACTCTGCATGAACCAGCTTGTGGCTTTGAGCAAGCTGCTTCTCTGTGCCTCACCTGTGTAAGGGGACAGGGGACTTAGAGCAGATTGTTCTAGGTAGTTTGTAAACTCTGTAGAGTTCCCCTGGGGCTTTCGTCTTTCTAGAATTGGAAGAGACCAGAGTGTCTTTGGACACATAGAGGAAATAACCAGGAGAAAGAAATGAATGTTCAAGAACAAAGGGATTAATGGAGCAAGATATATGAGCAGCTGGGGTCAGATGGGATGGAAGGCTACAGAGAGGGCTTAGAAGGTGGTGGGTGGGGGAGAGGGTAGGAGCAAAGGAAGGGGGGACATTAGGGAGAGCTTGACATACCTGAGGAGGTAGAAGTTGAAGGACTGTACCTTAAGTGGCCTTTATCCTGCCGTGAAGGAGTTGAAGAAAGGGCCCAGCTGAGGACAGATAGATAGGTCCTGCAGTCCTGTTCTCAACTCTGAGTGTGCACCAGCATCACCTGGAGGGTCTGTTGAAACAGAAGACTGCTGGACCTCTTTCCCAGAGCTGCTGAGTCAGCAGATGTAGGATGGAGCCTGAGAACCTGTGTTTCTAATGATGCTGATCCTGCTGGTCCGGGGACCACACTTTGACATCTACCATTTGCTTCAGCCGCAGGCCTCCACCTATGTTTGATGAATCAGAATGGGAAAACTGAGTTGGTGGTTGACCCTAAAAACTAACAGTCACCGGCTGAAAGTACTGGGTCTGTTGAAAGGGTCAGATAAAGCCATTGGGTGTGATTTAGGGGCTCAGCCTTGTCCAGTGTCACCTGGATCTCTGGATAATGAGGTTGTGGAGGCGAAGTTAGGGGGTCTGACCCTGCGCTGGCTCCCATGTTTGGGCTCCAGTGAAGTCATTCTGGGAGGGGCCCGCTGGTCACTCTCCTGGGGGCCAGACGGGGCCTCCGATCCTTCATGCCCTAGGCCATGCCCATACGCTAATCTCTGACTACTTTGTCACGCAGCCGAGGCAAGTGAGCACCCCTGCGCCTGCAGAGGACAGCTGTTAGACTGCGCCAGCTGTGAGTGCAAAGCTCTCCCGCTCCCCTCCTACCCCGCTGGCACATCAGACTGGACCTGGGAATGGGGAGAAAGACCAGGGGAAGGGAGTGGTCTGTCACTTGAGGTCAGGAAGGAAGACCTGCAGGAAGAGGGGAATTCTCTTCCATCACCCTCCTCCCTTCATGCCCCAAAGTCGATCCCAGCCCCCCATGGGGAAAGCCCCAGGAGCACGGAGGTGATGGCTCATGGTTCAGTGAAATCATAAACTTTTCAAAAAAGGTGAAGAGTGACTGCCACCTGCCTCAGAATCCCCCTGACTCATGCCCCAGCCCTGGAACCCTTCCTCCCAGGTAAACATTGATTCCCAAAAGTCCTCCTTCCTAAACTGCTCCCAGTAGGTCAGAGTCTTCGGGGTTTTTTTCCCCACAGCTAGGGCCGAGTGGCCTTGGAAGAGTTTGACCATCCACAGAGCCCAGTTGGCTTGCAGGTGCCCGTGGACAATTTTGTATGCGCAAATCCAGTAAGGCCATGGTTAGTCTTGGTGGCAGAAACCCCTGCCACTTCTTTTCTCTCTCTCCAGCGCTTGGAGGTTGGGAGGGAACCCTAGAGGGCACATATCTCAGCTGAAGTTTCGAACGGATTGAGGTGTTCCAGGAGGGAAGATTCTCTCCCTAATTCCTCTGAAACCTTGACTTCTGAGTTGCAGGGCTGGGGAAGGGATTGCAGGGGCTACCGTGTAGGAGAGGGAAGAGAGGTGCGGGACGTGAGAATAAGAAGGGCTGTGAGAAGCCACAAGAACTGGAGCG